AGCCTCTCTGCCAGTTTGGCAACAGGGGAGGGAGCTCAGACATGTCTCTGACTTTGATGTCATCGAACAGACTGCCTCTCTCCAGCTCGGCACGCGTGACTCTTGGGGCGGCTTGGGCCATGGTCACATCGTCATCCTCGGACAGGTTGGCGAACTTGCCCTCGTAGTAGCTGACCAACAACTCCAAAGCCTTGGAGCCATAGCCCATGGAGACGTAGTCGGGGTTGGTGGCGATACGGACAACGCGGGCGCCGGAGAGAGAGGCGAACTCGTCATCTTGGAATTGTTGGGAGACCAGCCAGGGGATCAAATCACCGGCTGGCTGTGACCCTCTGGCCAAGCTGTTGAGGATGCTCTGTCTGCTGATTTTACCTTCCAGAGACACCTGGATGACGCACAGTGGTTCTGGCAGTCTCCCTTCCGAGATGGGTCCGGTAAGCACGAAAAGCTCGTGGGCGGGCGCATCAGACATGAGCTGAAGATCATTGGGTGAGTTCTTGTAGTGGGAAGCGACATAGAGCGCGACCATTTGCTGAAGGAAACGCTCTGAGACTGGGTGAAAAGAGAAGAGTGTGTCGCGGTTGACGTGGAGGAGCTCGCACTGAGAAGGGTCGGGGCAGCCCTGGGTGCTGAGTTTTGACCGGGGGAGTGTCGCATCGAGGCAGAGAAGGGTGTTGAGCCACTTTTCCACGCTGTCGCCCTGGGCGTAACGGATGGGTTCGGAGAGGGTGATCTCCTTGAGGGAGCGACCGCCAATACCGGCAGTTTCCTTGGCAGTCTTTCCGCTTGCTCTGTCTACCTCGGCAGTGCCAGATCCATTCGGGTTGCCACCAGTCATGGACTGTTCTCTGAGCTGCTTGATCAGCTTGAGCGAAAGCGACCGACCGGTACCTTCGTAACCGCTGACTGTCGAGGCCATGAAAACCAGGTAGGGGCCCATGAGCTTCTTGACAAGGGGAAGAGGAATAGCAGCCGCCTCATCGATAACCACCAGCTCGGCCTGTCCGAGAACGTGCGCATCCTGAGGGCGGAAGTATTGAATGGTTTGACGGTGATTTCTGTGAATGTTGACCCTGACGATCGCCTTGTTGAAATCTGGGTTCGTCGACTGGATGATCGAGTAATCGGCGTGGTCCTTGTAATCAAGCGCGTCGAATCCCTTGAACACAAACTCAAACAGTGTCTTCAAGTTTTCTGGTGATGGCGAAGTGATAAAGATATTGCTGTATCCATAGGCCACGGCCGCCGCAATGGCAACGCCCATCGCCGCAGACTTTCCGCGACCACGCGCAGCCGTCAGCGTGACCGTGTTCCTGAGCGTCTTTTCCGCAATCGCATCGACGAACGTCAACAGGGCCTTCGCTTGGTCTGTTGTCTTCGCAAGCTTCACAAGCGACCCGATCGGCTGTGTATCCTGCAACGAATCCTTGATCTTCTCCAGCTCCAACTTCGTCTTGCTCAATGGCTCGTCCTCCTCCGGCGGTGGCAGCGCCTTCACCCCCTTTCCTCCGGAAATTGGCAACACGTTCAACTCGTCATCGATGACCAGGCACGAATCGCAGCTCCCGAGCGAAAGGATAAACCTCTCGTTAAACCTCGCCACAACATCATCGTGCGCCTCGGTCCTGTATCTCGAGTGGACATCCATAGACATGGTGTAGAGCTGCTTCAGGGAGTTCATCCCCTTGAGCAGCAAAACAACCAGACCACCACCCTCGACCGTCTCGATCGTCCTGGCGAGAATATTCGGCGTCATGGCCTCGAAGTCTTGGAGGATCAACATGCCGTAGGTGTTGCCGAGGATCTTCTCGGTCTCCTTGTAGTAGACATATCGGATATCGTTGAGAGAGATGAACAGCTCGAATGGGTCCTCGGAGTTGGCCTCTCTTATCCCGCGCTTGATTTCCTTCTTGATCTTGTTCTCTCGCTTCTTTCGGTGGGAGGTGAAGCCGAGGAGCTTGTTCTTGTAGGCCCAGAGCACCTGCTTGTTGTGCCTCACCTCCATGCTGGACATGATGTAGTAGAGGTGGACGATGGCATCTTTGGCGTGGTCGCCGACGACGACGAAGAAGGAGCGCTTCTTCTCTTGGAGGCCATTGCGGATCAGTGTTGGGATTCGGGAGTCTCTGTGAGGCAGAAATGTCAATTGATACTGGTCGAGATGAGCGATGTAGGCCAAGAGAAGGTAAGAGAACATACACTACTTTTTGGGTCGTCATTGTCGCGGCTTTCTTCTTTGCGAATTGGGCCTTGGACAAATTTGGAGAGGGACCCAAGTTTGCGACAAGCTGCAGGTGCTGGGAGCTCTCAATTATTTTTCGTTCTGCCCGGCGGTGAGTCGCCAAGAAGTCTTATCGGCTTATCAACCATGGGGGCTCCACAGTGAGCTGCACTAGCGCGGTTCATCAATTGACTTCGCGATTTCCTAATTGGGACGGCGAGGTCAGTGATGACTGACTCTTGAGTTGTGCTTGGGAGGTGTGATTGCCAGGACCTGGGAGAAAGTTGCTTGAGCGAGAGAATTATATTGGATTAAGGCGGATAAGTGTAGTGACAGGTAAATATTCAAGATATTCCATTTTCTCCCTTTTCTGTACCACGCTGCTACCGCGCTGCTGTTGCCCTATTGCCGGACAAACATCGCACCCGGTGCAACGAGCCGTGGCCTGGGGGCAAGCTTCGGTGGACGCGCCACAGGGTGTTTTAGCACCGTCTCCTGCTTCCACTCTGCAGCAAGTAGCCATCGTGTGCTCCAAGTGGTGTCAAGTTAGCATAGCAGTCTGAAGCGTTCGTTCCTGGAACCGAGCACACCCACCCCCTTGGTCGCAGCACACAAGTCTCGATCTGATTGCTGGTCTTGTTCACAAAACAATAGGGTAGCTTAAGTGCCTGCTTCCCAACGGCATACTCCGGCAAAACCCGCAATCAGATTCAGAATCAGGCATATAACGTTCAAGGTGGCTGGTGTGCCTATAGGGGCCCCCGTGCGGCGGTCAGGCTGAAGGTCTCGGTTCAAGTCCGAGATTGGGCACCACCTTTTTGTTTTCATTTTCTGGTTTTCCAACATCAACTCCGTAACCAGCCTTGTCATTCTGAAACCCCCTTCCGGTAGGCCTTTTTGGAAGAATGGTGCTTTTTGGTTTTTATCCTGGTCTCTGTGGCGCTCTTCTTCCTGTCACGGGATCAGTATCTAGGTAGCAAAGACTGGGAGATGGATGCTACACACAGTGCTTCATATTTGGCAGCTTTTTCTGGCCGTGTTGCGTTTGGCACGGTGGCTTCATACAGCTGCTGGAGCTCGTCAAACAGCTTCTGTCGGTTTTCTTCCGAGTTGGCAGTGCGGCTTCTCTGGGTCTGGGCCTGGAAAACCAGAGAGTCACTCCGCTTGGAAAAGTATTTGGATTCCCTAACACCAGCATGTAGCAGTTTGGGGAGTCTGGATAGTAGCTGTGGAACAGGCCATGTGGTTGTTGCTTTTGTTTCCGTCCTGCCCAGACAGTCAACAAGCTGAGGCTCGACACACCGGTGGCAGATGCACAAACTTATTCACGTGTTGGCCGCCAGGACCGGATGAGCGGGCAAACGATGTGTTGCCTTCTGGAAGACTGTCAATCTTGAATGACTGGTGCCATCTCCGGGCTTCACTAAGCTGCTCTTCGTCAAAAGATGCGTCGAAAGCCTGATGTCTAATGAATCGCGGGAATGGTGGTACTGACACCCAGCGACTTCCTGAAAACAGGAGGTTTAATGGCTGAGGTCTACGAAGCAGCGACATTCTTTGATGGATGCTGTTGTTATTGATTGAGGAATGCAAACAATGAAAGACAATCCATTCATTGGTCGTTGTTGTGCTGAAGAACCCCACTCCCACTTCAACCCTGAACGGCAGGTCACGCCAAGCAACCCTAAGCTCGGGTGGGGCTTTTGATCGAGAATTTTCTTCCTCCTGCAAATAATAATATGTTTTATCTCCTCTCAGCCTTGCGCTTGCAACTGCCCCAGGCTCCTCCATCATCGAAAGTGACTGCGAGCTTGTGACGGGTCCCCAGTCGGCGTTCTTTTTGCAAACCTTCATCCGCCACCACAAAAAATATCACAAAACCAGAACCAGTCGCTTTCTCCCCTCTCTCACTCTGTGCATCCAGTCAGTCATCATCCATCCATCGCCAGACAAGATCCATCGCCAAAATCCCCCGTCTACAGTCCACACAACAAAACTTTAAAGTCCACCCACGTCTCTTCTTCCAACCCAAGCCTTCCCCGTTCCTTCTTACCTCCACCTCTCACGTCTCTGCGCCAAACTTATTCGGCTTTTTCTCTTTCTTTTTCTGATCTCTCTGGTCCCACGTCCGCATCCCGCATCCCGCGTCCCGCATCCCGCATCCCGCATCCCCCTTGATGTCGGAACAGTCGCCCGAAATTGTGGCCGCCGCCAGTCTGAGTCCCCTCTCGCCCAAGCCCATCTCTGTCCAGATCCAGAGCAATTCTGTGGTGCCCATGCTCCAGGACCAAGCAGCTACCACTGACACAGCCATGTCCGGCATCATCGTGGATCCCGGTCTAGAGACTTCGGATGTCCCTGCGCCAGTCTCCGATACTATCGTAGTGGCCGGTGACTCGTCAGACTTCCCCGATGATAGCGACGGCAGCATTGACTACGGTGAAGAGGACGAGGCCGCCGAGAAGCCCTCTGCCACCTCTGACGGTGCTGCCGATGCTCCTCCCGACAATGATGAGTATGCAAGAAGCTTTGATTCGCCTGTCGACCCCCAGAGCTCGAGTAGCGAGGCTGGCGCTGGCGAGCCTCAGCCTGATGTATCAGAGGCTGCCGCTTCCAATTCCATGAATGACCAAGTCACATCTGCACCTGCTCAAGCTCCAGCTCCAGCTGTCATTGCCCACCATGAAGATCGCCTTCCTCCACCCGCATCGTCGACAGCAACCCAGCCTAATGTCAACAGCTGGCCAACGCTCACATCCATTGAGAATGAGCCACCTTCCCAGTCCAGCGGCCCCGAAACTTCCAGTCCATCAGACGCACCGACGTCCACCCCCAACAACAAGTCCGCTGCTGCATCTGCTGAGGCCGCTGACATCCAAAAGCTGGTAGACGACATCACTGCTCGAGCCACTGCTACTGCCACGTCTGCAGATACCCCAGCATCCGTATCCGCCCCTTTGATTTCAGGCCCCCTTCCCCCATCACTGCCCCCCAAGCCATTATTATCGGCTCAACCACATGCCTATCAGCCACGTGGTCCCAATCCCACGCACAACCACAACCACCCGTTAGGACCTTATAGACATTCGCTTGACTCCATGGAGCCACCAGCCTCGGCTCCTGGAGCGACTGGCGCGGGTTACGCAGCCTCCTTCTCCAACCATGCCTGGGATACCTTCGTTAACGACGAGAGGACGTATACCTCGGAACAAAACTGGGATAGGTTCCCCGAAGGCGCCCGTATCTTTGTCGGTATGTTAGCCCCGATGTTGCTGGTGTCCATAGGCCGACTGACAAATGTGTATAGGCAATCTCTCCAGCGATCGGGTATCAAAGAAGGAGGTGTTCGCCGTGTTCAGCAAGTACGGCAGACTAGCGCAGATTTCCATGAAGAGCGCCTATGGTTTTGTGCAGTACCACAACGTTTCTGAAGCCCAGGCCGCACTGGAGGCATGTCAGGACATGGAGCTTGGTGGCCGCCGTATTCGTGAGTGTGCCCTTGTCTCCACGAAAAACCATCTCTTAACTAACCTGTTACACAGACCTCGAAATATCCCGTCGTCAAAAGAAAAAGGGTGGAGATGACAGAGGGCACTCGCCAGATCGACGTGGTGGTCCTCGTGGCATGACAAATGACAGGCTCGACTTGAACAACCAGCCGAGAGACCCTGGTTGGAAGAGAACCAATGACCACCGCCGCTCCGCCTCGCCCCGCCGAGACGACCCTCGCGGCTTCTATGCTCGAGATCGCGACAACGGTCCAATGTCACACGACCGTCGCCGGTCCCGGTCGCCCCGGCGCAGCCGTTTTGGCAGTGAATCCTACAGACGAAGAAGTCCCAGTCCACATCGCCGCACCCCCTCGGATGTAGACCGCCTCGACATCCCTCGCCGCTACGGCAATGATGTTCCAGACGTCCAGATCCTGCTCCTCCAAGATCTGGACCGGCCCTTTGTTGACTGGGTACAGAACGCTCTCCATGCCCATGGCCTCAAGACAGCCGTGATGCATCTCAACCCTCGCTTTCCCCGCAATACAATCGTGCAGCGCCAGGTGCTCGAAGGTGTTCATGCCATTATTGACCTAGACCAGACATCCCGTGACTCGGGATTGATATCACTGCAACTGTTCATCCGCAACACAGGCAAGGGGAGCAATATCCGGTTTGAGAATTACAACTCGCTGAACCCGGAACTGGCGGGTGGGCTGGTCATGAGGGAGAAGACGAGAGTCGTGCATGCTCCTCCACCACCTCCACCGCCCCATGTCGCGGCATATCCTCCAACTTACCAGCCTCCTCCTGTTGCTGCTCCCACTGCTCCTTATCAGAGTCCCATTGTTCCACCGCCTGCCACCGGATATCAGAGCTATCCTCCAGCGTCATCCATTCCACAAGCTGCTCCTGCTCCTCCTGCTACGCCTATTGATAATGATTATTTGAGGTCTCTGTTGACCGGTCTCCAAACCCAGCAGCAGTCGCAACAGCAGACTGCTGCTGCCAGGGCACCTGCTCCACAGATTGATATCAATGCGTTGCTTGGGTCTTTGCAGGGTGGTGTACCGCAGCAAGCACCACCGCAACAGTATGGGGTGCCACAACCACCACAGTTCCAGGGAGCGGCAGGGTACTACGGCGGTGGGCAGAATGCGGTTGCACCGACGCCGGTGGCATTGGGGAACAATGCGCATATTCAGAACATTATGGAGAATCTCAAGAGGGCTTCGGGGAGTAAGTAGGGTGGCGTTGCTGCGAGGGGGGGGGTGAGTGGGCTCGAACTCTGTTGATGATGGGTATACTGTAGCGATCAGCGTAATGAATACAATTTTAAGACAACATGAGTACCAATGCTGCATTCTCCCTGCTACAAACGTCCAGAACCGCACTGCTTGTCCCGCCTCAAAAGATAATCAATAGGCATTTAAAGATAGTCGATCTGCTTTGAAACATTGACTATCTCCAAAGGCATGTTAACTATGTTTTGGAGCCTATAAACTATTTCTCAAGGCCTATTATCTATCTTTTAAGGGCCTATTATCTATCTTTTAAAGGGCCTATTATCTATCTTTTAAAGGGCCTATTAACTATCTGTTAAGGGCCTATCATCTATCTTTTAAGGGCCTATTCACTATCTCTAAAGGCCTTTAAAGATAGGTAACAAGCCTCAAAAGATACCTAGTTAATGCGCACTCTCGCTATCCCTTGAACCTATTCACCATCTTGGAACACCTATTCCTTTGGAACAAAAGGTATGAATTAAAGAATCACCACACGTTATACTGATTTCTGTAGTGCTAGGTAATTATAAAGATCTAGAGCGTGCTAAGGTATCAAAATGGTTATTTTTATTTTATTTTTAATTTCCAAAAGACCAGACATCCAGACATTCCGGTAATCGCCTAAGCACCAACAGTAACCGTCACCGTCTCCCGCACCTGCTCCGTCACTGTCTCCCTCTCCGTCACTGTGACCGTTGCCTCTTTCTCCTGCCCTCCGTTTGCCACGTCTGGGATTGTTGTTGTTGTTGTTGTTATTGTTGTTGGCTCGGGAATAGGAGTGGGAGTGGCGGTGGCGGTGGCGGTGGTGATGATGGTGGTGGTGTCCTCGATAGGAATAACCGACAATCTTGTCCTCGTCGTTGTTGTGGTTGGAATCGGCTCAGGAGTGGGAAAGATGATCGGGGGAGGGGTGGCTGATGTTTGGAGGGGTTCGCTCTCGACAGGCGCGGGGAGGAAGGGCTCGACGCTTGGGGGGTTGGTTGTTGTGGGGAGGGGGATAATGGTCTCGTCGAGTTGGGGGAAGCGGGGGGTTGGGCTGAGGGTGAGGGTCATGGTTATTGTTTCTGAGGTCAGGTCGATGGTGGCAGTTTTGGTGATGGCGGTTGTGAGGGGGGTTGTTTCGGTTTGGATGGGAGCTTCCCCTGTTTGGGTGACTGTCTCGATGCCGGCCGAGATCGTGATGGTTGCTGTGCTGGTGATGGGTTGTGCTGGTGACTCTGTGGGGGTAGTATCGACGTCTGTTTCGGTGACTGTTCCGACGCCGGAAGAGACTGTGATGGTTGCTGTTGCGGTGAATGTATCCGCTGGTGTGCTCGAGGCAGGTGCAGTGGTTGCGGGAGGAGTGGAAGGGGCATCGCTTGGGAGATTGGGGATCATATCCGCTGGCACAATTCCCAAGGTCTCCTGCGCCAGATCAGGATCGACGCACCCGATGATGACGCCGTTGACGGTATTGTTCAGGGGCATGGCGAAGCAGGCTGTGCCGGAGGGGCACTCGCGCTGAAGCTCAAAGTTGTTTCCATTCTCGGAGCACTTCACGACGTTGTGGTTGACGCAGGCGGCCTGTCCTACGCTGCAGGCGGTGGACATGGTGGTTTCTGAGAAGATGGTGTTGTACTCCTGGGCTAGGGCAATGTTGTTTCTGAACTCATTGGTGGGGATGCTTGCGGTCGCGGTTGGGAGGTTGGTGATGGCGGTGGGAATGGCGGTGTTGGGCTCGCCGGTGACGGTGACGTTGGCGGTTGAGGTGGCCGGTGTTGATGCGGTTTCGGCAGGGAGAGTGCTAGTAGCACCAGTCTCTGTCGGGCTGCTTGTGAGGTCGGCGGGTTCGGTAGTAGCGGTGCTGGTGAGATCAGTACTAGCAGTCCCAGTCGCGGTGGCCGATGGAGTAAGAAAGGAGGAAACAATCAGCGGCGTGCTTGAAGTTGGCAACGGCTTTGATGTCTCAACGGAGGTCTCCGTCTCACTGGCGAGGCTCGTGGCGGGCGTGGATGTTTCGACTAGAGAGGTCTCGAGGGAAGCAGTCGCGGTCTCCGATGTCTCCGCTGTTGAAGTCTCGACAGTCGAAGTTTCAGCATTAGAGGTCTCAGTCGCAAGAGTCTCGGTGGCAGTAACCTCCCCCACCGATGTCTCACCCACAGAACTCTCCACCCCCGAACTCGCAATCGAGCTGACTGTAGCCCCAGGTAAGCCCGTCACCGTCGCCTCAGCAGTAGAAGTCTCCAACCCCGCCCCGGCGCTCGTCTCCGGCGCCCCAACCAACGGCAGCGTAACCTGGCTCACCAAACTCCTCGTCGTTGTAGTAGGTACAGCCTCCTCAACCTCCGTCACCGTCGTCTCCGGCACAATCGTCGTCACAACCGTCGTCTCGATGTTCGTACGCGTCGTGATCACCGGCCCCCCAACGGTAGTATTAAACTGCCTCGCCCACTTCATCCTCCCCACCCCCTCCTCCTCCCCCACCGTCCTCCTCCCCTGATACCCATTCCCATTCGATCCCCTCCTCCACTTAAGAGGACCGGCCTCTGCAACCGACCCCAAAAGCAGCGATATTAATGTTGTTGTAAGGCGCATGTTTGCTTTGCTTTCGAACCAAAGGAAAAGTGTATAAAAAAAGAAGAAGAAAAAAGAGAGATGTAGGACCAGCCTAGAAAAATCCGTTATGCTATGTAGCAAAGAGAGGTCTCGTTCTTGATGGGAAGATGTGCTGAAACAGAAAAAATGATAAAGATATATGCCACGCAAGTGATGATGATAGACAAAAGATGAAAAAGATGACAACAAAAGAGATGTTTGCCAACTGGCAAGGATATTGGGAGTTGATCGACAAGAGAGAAAAGGAAAAGATATGTGTGTGTGTGTGTGTGTGTGCGCTCGCGAGTCTGGGTGGGGGAAAGAAAGAATCCATAGGCAGGTGGCAATGTCCTGCTCCTTGATTCTATTGGAACACTCTAAATGTTTTAGTCGGGCGTGCCACGGGTCTGAGTCCACAAGATAAAAAGCAAATGGGAAGTGTTAGCCGGCCCCGGCAATCATGTTTGCATCATGCCTGAACATGCTTTGGGTGACGGGGTAGGGAGGCTGTATG